GTGAAAAAAAAAAAAAAAAAAAAAAAAAATCTTTGATTTAAAGAAAATCAGAAAAATGGTGGCTTCTGATAAAGGAAATTGAAAAAAGGTGCAGAGGAACTTTTTGTGGTGATGGGAAGCTTCTGACTTGATAGGAATATGTTATGGCGTGCATGCATTTACAAAACTCAAAGATTTGTGTATTTGTGCCCAGTGTGGTAGTGCGTGCCTATCATGCCAGCACTCTGGGCAGCTGAAGCAGGAGAATCACAAATTCAATTCCAGCCTGAGCAATTTAACAATTTAGTGAGACTTTGTCTCAAAATTTATAAAAGGGTTACAGGATATGGCTCAATAGGAAGGTCCCGAGTTCTGTCCCCAGTACTGCAAAACAACAACAAACTGTATATTCAGAATTGGTGCATTTCATTGTATGTGAATTTTACCTCAAAAATAAAAATTTCCACGTGGAAATGTCCATTACTGATTTGATATTAATATTAATATTGATGGGGATTTAGCTCAGTGGTTCCGCCGCCTGCCTTGCAAGCACAAGGACCCGAGTTCCATCCCCAGTATCCACAAAAAAAAAAAAAAAAAAAAAATGATATTTTCAGTAGTAAGAAAATAAATCTTGTGACTTTTTCTGGAAGGCTTAGTTTTTTTAAGATTTAAAGTTGAAACAGTAGAATGTTTGGAATTTACTTCAAAGTACATATGAAAGACTAGAGATGGTTTGGATAAAGCAGATTTGATCATATATTTATAAATGTTGAAGTTTGGTGATGGATGAGTTTATTGAAATGGCCTATTAGGTTTTTTGAACTGCTGTTTATTCATATGTCTGTAAGTCAGAAAATTCCAATTAAATAAACATATTATGTAGATTGTGATCATATTTTTTAAGCACACACACCCACTTTCTGAAATCTGGCACAAACATGCTCAGAAAGTAACATTAAAAAGTATATAAAGATGGTCTGAATATTCTCTAGATTCTTGAATTATTCACTTTCCTGTACTGCTTAAATTTCTTGACAATTTTCTCTTCATTTTATAATAAAAGCAAATGAATTTTTGTAAAGAATTTAATGCAATACAAGAAGTAAATAAAAGCTCAAAACTGGTATCAGGTGGTTTGAGACCTTTTTTTTTGTTGTCGAACTAGGTATTGAATACAGGGCCTTTGCCCTGAGTTCATCCCCAACCCTATTGCTTTTTAAATTTTATTTGATTAGTTCATGTTTGCGATATGTGAAGTTTATACCCATCTTAGGGAGTGGGTGCATGTATATAACATCCTTTTTTTTTTTTTTTTGGTACTGGGGATTGAACTTGGGTCCTTGTGCTTGCAAGGCAGGCCACTGAACCACTGAGCAAAATCCCCAGCCCTATAACATCTTAATTCTTGCTGCTTTTTATATTTTATTGAGACAACATCTTCCCAAGTTGCCCAGGCTGGACTCTGACTTCTATCCTCCTGCTTCACCCTTTCAGGGTGCTGGAATTACAGGCATTCCACCACACCCATTCTCTTTGATAATTCTTGAATGAAAAGTTTTCAAAAAGGCTTTAATGAAGATTTTTAACTAGGCCTCATTAAATAGGTGGAAATTGTACTTCCTGTGTTATTTTGAAAACTTTAAAAATAGAATATTTATTTTTTTTTGTACCAGGGATTGAACTCAAGACCTTAGACTTTGTAAAGTAGGTGGTGGAACCACTGAGCTAAATCCCCAGCCCATAATGTTTAATATTGACTCACGAATTTATTGAACACCTGAATTTGTGATGTTTTAAATGTTTGAAGACACATTTCTGTCAGTGTCTTGTAAGTAGGTCCTACACCCATGAAATAGGTAGTAAGATCTGCTGAGGTAGCATTTAAACAGCCGTGTGATAATATGGTACAAAAGAAATTCCAGGAAAGGAAAGGTTTGATCATGGAGCAGGGAGCACTGATAATGCTTCTTAGCCATTATATAGTAAATGCTCGTTACTTTGCAAACCAAATAGATATTGTATAGGCTAAATATGAATTAACCTGTGTGTGTGTGTGTGTGTGTGTGTGTGTGTGTGTATGTGTCTATTATAACTGCAGAAAAGAGTGGCATCAAACATGATTTGATTCTCCCCTACCTCTTTGGGAGAACAAAATGAGGGATGAACGTGATATCTAATTTTTATAAGCACTAATAAATGTGATACATATTCAATTTATAAGATAGCTGATGCTATTCCATACTTTATTATATACCAAACCTGAATATTGTGGATTTTAGAAATAATTGAATACTCATAATATTTCATAAATACTGTAAACATACATAAGTATATACACACACACACACATTCACATAAATACACATAATGTGAATTAATGACTTTTAAGGTATAGACTTACAAGAATGGTATGTTCCTTTTTTTAAAAAAATTTAATTTATTGGTACATTCTAGGTAGACAGTACAGTTACATTCATTACTGGGATCTTGTACCTTTACATGCCAGGTCTTGGTTCTCATTTTTTCCCTTGTCCCCGCCCTCCCTTCCCCCCCTTCTCCCCTCCCCCCTTCAAACACTTTAATTCCACTTTTACATTTTCTCATTTTTTTTGATATGTTCCTTTTTATTTACTTTTACTCTCTTAGTTTAATTTATTGAAAAGTCATCATCTCTGCTTTAGGTAGTTTACCCCCTTTGTAATCCAATACGAAAACAAAATCTTGTAATAGTGCACATATTTAGCATCAGATATCTAGAAGTTTTACCTCTAATTATTTGGTACCATGATGAATAAAAGGAAAAGCCCCCGATCAATGAAATCACATAGGGAATTCATTCAGAGGCTTTGTATTACTTGTTTGTTTGTTTGTTTGTTTGTTTAAAGAAATACAGTCTTTGGGGGAGGGCAGGGAGTGTGTTGGCAGTCATTCCTAGGTCCTTAAACATACAAGGCAAGCATATCAGTGAACTACATCCCCAACCAAGAGAAAAAAGTTATGACAAGTTCTTGTTTTGTTTTGTTTTTGGTACGGGGGATTGAGCTTGGGACCTTGCACTTGCGAGGCAGGTGGTAGAACCACTGAGCTAAATCCCTGGCCTTATAACAAGTTCTTTGTTCACTTCTTTCCACTTCATACATCATCACTGTACTGAATACATTGATATGTGTATTTCCTGTCCATGGTTTTACAATTTTATTAGAAATGTATGTGTCCACATAATACATACTGTTGAAACTTTTTACTGTTTGTACAGCTATGCAGGTTACTCTTCTCATAAAATATCAGATAATACAGACTGCCCTAATTGAACTTCTTTCCTCAGAGTTATAAACATAATTAAACGTGTGTTCTTTAAAATGTAAGTTCTGTACTGTATGTACAGTGCCTATCTTGGTTTTCTACCACATTCCATCTAATTGTACATCCAGGAACTTTTTCCATGCAAGTACAGAAAGCTCTCCTTTAAAGTAATTCTTTTAAATTACTGTATAAGTAATATGTGGTTTAACATTTGTTTTGTTCTTCCCAACTAATGGATTTTTATATTACTTTCATGTGTTTCATCTTTATAAACAATGTTGTTTCAAACCCCTTTGAGTCCATCTTTATTTTTCTAAGTATTGGAAACCAGAATTGCTGGGCCATTGGACATGTATTTGTTACTATTAGCTTGTACCCTCCAAATGGGCTTAATTGTTTTACACCCTTCTTGTTACTAATGAATATTTATCTTTTTCCTTTTCCTCCATAGGGTCTACTAGCATTGGGCATCAGTAAATCTGTTCAAACACCAGATCCTACTCATCCGTAAGGATATTATTGCCTTTATTTTTTTTTGTTTTAGCAATGAGTCATTGACATAAAAGGAACTGAATTTTGGAAATCTGCAATTTATATATTGCAGTTTGTGACAGACTTGGTCATTTTTTTTTCATTGTAGTATCTAAAATGCAGGACTCACTGCTGCATCAAAGTAAATTCAAGGTATTATTTGAAAATGGAGTTTAAATTACTTTTATGGTTTGTTGCATAGCATAGAGATCTTAACTATAATGGATAATTAATAACAAAGCACATATTTTGATCTTAGAGTTGTTTTTATTTTGGTCCAGGGAAAAATATCTTAGTAGACTAATCTAGTAAATCTAAAATTTTGGTGATAATTTTTATTAAATATATACTTATTTTAAATCTTTTTATTGTGATTCAGAAATAATGTTCTATTTATACTACAAAATATGTATTTGTAAAATGAATATACTTTTTAGAATATATCACTTTGAATCTAGTTAATGATTTGATAGGAGTTTTTTCTTTGGCTTCTATTAATATCCATCTAAAATGTTTGAATTTACATGCATCATTATTTAATTACCTTCATTAATAGGATTTGATCAATCTTAAGGACAAAAAATGTGTTTTTATTTCTGTGAAGATGTTCATCTTTCTGTTTTATAAGTACCTTTCTTTCCTTGATAGCAAGGTCCTCCTGCTATAAATAAATAATAATATATTTTGAGTGACCTGTAATTGTCAGTAAGCTAGTATTATAGAGTGCCTAGTTCTCTAGTCTGCTAATTAAACATCATTACAGTGTTTTAATTTTACTAGAGGAAAAATGATTTTCCTGACCAATTTTATGTACCAAAAATTTTAAGTCAGAGGCTAAAATTTTAGGTTGTAAAGGTTTTTTTTCTTAAGGTATTTTCAATAAACTACTTTAGTGCTGCCCAGTAGAAGTTTCTTCAATAATGAAAATATTTTATTTATATCCAATATGTTATGTATGTATGTCCAATTGGCTACATGTGGCTGTTCAGCACTGAAAATATGGCTAGTGTGACTAAACTTTAAACTAAGTTTTTATTAATTTAATTTGCTAAATGTGGTTAGTGACTTAACAGTGCAGATTTGCATGATAAAATCTTTAATAAGAACCTGAAAAGTTTTTGAAAATATGTAAAATGAAAATAATAACATTTAATTTACTTTAACTTATTAATTTGGGTAAACTTTAGCAGAAATTAAAATTTTCTAAAACTGATAAAAACATTGTAATTATCTATAAATTGGGAATTCTTTATGCTGAAATTACATCTTTGCAAAAAAAAAATAATAATAATAATTCAAGGGCCAGGGATTTAGCTCAGTGATTCCACCACCTGCCTTCTAAGTGCAAGGTCCTGAGTTGAATCCCCAGTACCAAAAAAGAAAATTCATAGAGCAGTTTTGACTAAGCATTCTTTGTATTTGCGTCTGTGCCAGACAGGTGCAATAGAGTTTGGGAGAAAATTTCTCAAGAATTGTGTTTATGAATGAGTGATTTTTTTCTCTTATAGTATCATTAACTCCCTTAAATAATATTATATTGGTACTTAAAATAATAAAAATTAGAAAATGCCCGAAGTAATTAATATTTGCTTTTCATAAACCTAGTAAGCACATACTTTGAAAGGAAATTATTTTTATTTTTGTAAATTATAATTTTTAATTTTTTAGGTATGGATTTTCAAATATGCGGTATATTTCTTCACTAATTAGCGGTGTTGGTATTTTTATGATGGGTGCAGGACTCTCTTGGTACCATGGAATTATGGGATTGCTTCATCCAGAGCCAATGGAATCCCTTCTATGGGTAATCCTTTTTTTTTTTCCACCCCTTCCCTCAGCTTGGTAGTATGACATAGTGATTGAGCACTGAAGAATGCCTTTCTCATAACAGTATTGTTTAGTCATCTTTTTATTAATGGGACAGAATTCCTGACATACACAAATTAAAGGAAGAGGGATTTATTTTAGCTTGTGGTTTCAGAGGTTTCAGGCATTGGTCAACTGGTTCTGCCAGACGGCGTCATGGCAGAAAGGCCTAATGAGTAAAGCAGAGATAGCTGTTAAGGAGAGGTGGGGCGGGAGGAGTTTTTTGTTTGTTTTATTTGTACAGGGATTGAACTCAGGACCTTGTGCTTGTGAGGCAGACACAGTGCCACACCTGAAATTTTGTTGAGGAGGACAGCTGAGCTACAACTGAGCTAAATCCCCAGACTGGGTCCTTTTAAATTTAAATGGATTGCGGAAGTGTAATTTTTGTTTTGTTTTGTTTTGGTACCGGGGATTGAACTCAGGTCCTTGGGCTTGTGAGGCAGGCAGCAGCACCACTGAGCTAAATCCCCAGACCAGTCCTTTTAAATTTAGAACAAAAGTAAAGTAAAGAACAGAATGGTATAATTCTAGACATATTTGACATTGCCCTGTTTTGGCCTCCTTGCTTCCCACCTTTTCTAAAATGGTTTGCTGGCTATAGAACGAGGGTATAGAGGCCCAGGCTGGGGCAAAGCTGAAATATGTGCTCCAACACCTCAGTTTGGAATGTGGGAGTAACTGAAACTTACTCTGGGTCACGGAACAGGACAGAATCATGTCTTGTTTTTAACATCCTCCTGTATCGTACAAACCTACATGAGAACAGGGCTATTACATTTGTTGTTTAGTTTTCTACCCAATTTTTGTAAGTTTCTTTCCATATTTAGTATAAATGAATTGAATAAACCTGTCTTCCTTCATTCTGAAAAGGTTTGGCTACTTTATAAATGCACTGTCTTAGCATTCATCTAATCTTTACAACATTACTTTGTAGAGGCAGGGCAGTCTCTGAAGTTAGAGATTAAATTTCAATTGTGTGTAATTTTAGTAGCTTTTATGTCTCTCTGAGGGAATAGGGCTCTGTTAGACTCTGACCCTTTTTAAAATATATAATGGATTCAACACACTATAAACCAGTTTATGTTTTTTAGGTATTATTTTAGAATCTTTGGCTCTAATATGTGCTTTCTCCTTTAACTGGATAATAAGTGTGTCTTAATTTCAGGCATGAAGTAGAAGGATATGAAGAGTTATTGGCAAGCTTGGCTACTATTTTAATTATATTAGCCATTATTAATTTCAGGTTGGTAGTATGATTTAGTGGAAAGAGCCCAGAGCAGAAATGAAAAGCCTGCATCTGCTTAACGTTAGTCTCACTTAACCTTGGGGACTTCAGTTTCTAGAACAGAATTATGAGAGTGTTAGATTAGGTTTGAAAATTTCAAACTTGTTTCAGGAAAACCTAGGTTTTCAAAAAGTTATGTTTGGTTTGAGTTTCATTAAAGTTTTTAATAAATTTGTGTCTCTCAGTTAACATTTTTATATATCTTGGACTAAAACTTCTTTTGCCATCTTTAATTGAAGAGTATCCTGGGACTGGAAGGAAGTAGTGATTCCAAAAGAAGTAACTGACTACTGTTTATGAGTACTTAGCCCTTTGAGTCAGGATTCTCTTCATACTGAGAATTCAAACAAAATCCAGAAATTACATGGGTGTGATTATAGAACTTCACTGCATCTGGTGTCCACAGCCCAGGTTTCAAATATTTGGGCTCACAACTCATTGTCCTCTTTTAAATTGTTTCCCATCAGGATCTTTATAGTATAGCTTGAGTTGTAATTTGTTTCTCTTCTTAGATATTATAAAATTTATACATGGATAATAATGATTCTTTAGTGAAATACTAAACTTACTCTGTATTTTAATATTTATTTTCTAGGCATATTGTATTTTAGCAGGATCATTGGTATCTGAAGGAGGTATGTAGTATCTCAAAGTACTTCTTGTTCTCAATTTAGTGATATGTATTGAGCAGTCCATTATAGTTTTACTAAGTTGTGTTGATTAATGTAATTGTGAGATAGGAATCTAAGGTTTGTCTACTTTTAGGAAGAAAAATTTTGTATAATGTACTATGGTTGTCCTGTAATGGGTGAAGGAAGGAGAAAAATATGTTTTGTTCTGAATATCATAAAATGCTGAGTACATTAGAAATGAAGTATACAAATATAACTATACTGAGTTTTTAAAAATCAGGTTTTAGTAATGTTAATGAGAGAGGGCTGCCTCATTTTGCCATAAGACTATTTCACAATTTCTGAAATACATAGCTTTGGAACTATCATGAGAACATCAAATGAAAATGCTTAATTCACTGTTGTGCTCCTATTTACCCCTGAAATTGTAATTTCCTATGAATAGTTCGCCCCTCACCTGTTTTTAAAATTTATATGATTTTAATTGACTGATCATAATTGTATATGTTTACATGCCTTTAATCTTTGATAGACTATAAAATTGTGACAATACCACTTGCCTCAAAAGGTTGGAAGAGGGTGGGGATTTAGCTCAGTGGTGCCGCTACCTGCCTTTCAAGATCCTGAGTTTGATCCCTGATACCAAAAAAAAAAAAAAAAGTTGGGAGGATCAAAAGTGATTGTGTTGAGTTTGGTGACTTCTGGATAGTAGCTGCTTAAAACCTTAATATTATTATTATAGTAATTTTGTTTAATGACTATAGTTTAGAAATTTGAGCTTCACTTTATTATGTTGATTAAGTGGAGTCTTGCTAATGAGTAGAACTTTTCCTTACTGCCAACATGGTATTAAAGTATTATCTGTATTTTATCTTTTGAGATTCCATCTTAAAGTTTGAAGTATGAAATTTCTTTCCTGCTGATATGAATACTTTTTTTTCAGCAACACTTCTTGTTGCTGTAAATGAACTTCGTAGGAGTGCTCGGGCCAAAGGAATATCTTTTTATAAGTATGGTATGTATTTTAGAAGTCAGATTGATTTTTCCTCTTTTATTTATTTTAAAAAATATTTCATACTGTTGCTCTGTTCCTAATAAATGGATGCAAAAATATGTATCTCAGTGTCTTCCCTGTGTGTATATTATGAATAAAACAGTACTTTTTAAAAGAAATGTAATGTAATCTGGGCATATGGATACTTTCTATTTGGATTTACATGAACTACTGTAATTTCTGTGTATGATTATAGAACTTCAAAAAGCAATTTGATATTTAAGACAAGAAATTATGTTTATCTTGAATAGCGTTTTAAAAATTATGATCTGTCCTACATTTTAATCTAGGATAATTACTAAAATATCCTGTGATTGTATGACGTTAACATTTTAGAAATTCTCTATTTTTTCCTTTTTCTCTATGATAAAGTAATGGAAAGTCGTGATCCTAGTACCAATGTTATATTATTGGAGGATACTGCAGCAGTCTTGGGAGTGACGATAGCGGCCACTTGCATGGGCCTTACTTCTATAACAGGTAAAATTTTCTTAAATTACAGGTGATTTATTGTGCTATGCAGTTTTCTAATATATAGGAATTTTGTTCTTATATCATTGAATAATTTTAAACCAGTAGATTATTAAATATTAATCCCACAGTAATCATTTGTAGGAGATATCTGGTTAGTAAAAGTGTTAGATTTTCTCTGAATTAGAAATTTCTGTACATTAGAACTGGACATGGTGACACATGCCTGTAATTCTGGCACTCAGGAGGATGAGGCAAAAGAATCACCACAAGTTTGAGGCCAGTGTAAGCTATATAGTGAGTTCAAGGACAGCCTGGAACACATGGCAAGACCCTGTCTCAGAAACAAAAAAACAAACAACCCCCCACAAAAAAAGAAAAAAATTCTCTACATTAGAAACACGTAAAAGTATCAGTAGAAGATTGGGGGTGGGGGTGGTACTAGGAATGGCACTCAGGGCCTTGCACTTGCCAGGTAGGAGCTGTACTACTAAGCCATATTTCTCACCTGGGAGATTTCTATAATACTCAGCCTTTCTAGCTGTGACTTAAATTTTGCAGTCACTCTGATCTTTAAACTCTTTTTATGTTATCAATATTTTTATAGGTATAGTAACCTCAAATTAACATGAGAAACCTTTTAATAAATTCCTCAAGTTCTTAATAAATATATATATTGTGACTCTTACTCATCTGTCTTTTTTTTTTTTTGCTCCTGGTGCCAGTAATTATTGTTGGCTCTATATTTATTTAACTTAGAGTTGGTTCTGTCCTCATTTTTATAGCTATTTAAATCTTTTGAAGGCCATTACAATACAGGTAAGTGAAAAGGCAGAAAAAATATTTTATTTTCTAAAACAAAAGAAGCATTTGTTCTGAAAAGTCTCAATTTACGAAGCTGGAATTCTTTTGGAATAGAACTATTGTAATTCCATTATTCTCCTTTGTTTTTGCATATTTAAAATAATTTCAGGTTGTGAGCTTCTACAGTTCTGTTAGTTCTACAGTTCTCTTCAGTCTGAACTACAGATGGTTTTTTTTATCTTGAGTGTACATTATAAGACTAAAGTAGCATTCTCCAGTGTATTATGTGATCTGCAATAGTTTTAAAAATATTGTTTTTCTGGTTTACCTTACAGTTTGAGTCCCTTTTTTGGACATAAATTCTTTTAGTTTGGCTCTCTAAAGAGTAGTATTTAATATTGAATTGTAAACTTTCCACATGGATGAGATAATAGAGATAAGTGAGTTTACTTTTTAGTGGTATTTTTTGTTTTTGTAATTCTGGGTTAGAACACAAAGCCTTCACCCTGATCTATGTCCCCAGCCATTAAATTTTTTTTCGAGACAGGATCCTGCTAAGTTGCTGTTACCCAGGCTGAGCTAGAGCTTGTGATCCTCTTGCCTCAGCCTCCCAGAGTACTGAGATTATACACATGTGCCCACCACCCCGACTTGGTGTTATATTGTGACTATATATTAATAAAATTGACATATAAATTGAGATTTTTAGTAAAATAAGTATGTCTTATCAAGCATTACAGTAGTTAATACAATATGGATGACATTTCATTTTCAAAATAAAGATATAAAAGCCATGTATATAAAGCTTATAAAGTATAACATTTATTACTGTCTGTAATATAAATATTACTTTTATCCTCATAGCCAATAAATTAGGCTTCCTCATTGGTTCTGAGAAAGAATTAAGCTGCAACAACCTGAGGCAGATTTTAAAATCAGAAGTCCTGAAAGACTTGATGAAACACTTAGTAGTGAGCCTAGCCTTCAGAATTTCTGATTCAGAAGTTCTGAGGTGAAGCCTGAGAATTTGTGTTCCTCCCACATTCTCATGTGATACTGATGCTGCTGGTCCTTGAACCACATTTAGGAACCACTGCCTCAGGCATTTGTTTCATGTAATGAATTCACTTCTCTGCTTTCTGGGCTAAGGATTTAGCCTCGCAAGCACCTGAGTTAGATCCCTGATTCGCGGGGAGGGGGACTGCTCTGCTTTGTATCTAGTATTGCTAATTAATAAATAATTAGATATCGTAATTGGCCCAGCAGGAAAAGTGAGCCATATCATTTTCTGTAGGGGTTAATTCTCTTACAGGATGTTGGTAGTAATAAGACACAAAAAATGTTATTTCTTAAAGCTTAATTTCATGGTTATTCTGCCCCTCTGGAGTAGAAAAGTGTTACTGATATATCTAAAATAAATTGATTATTTAATTATGTGTGTATATGAAAAATGTATCTATAATCTGAAAATGCTGATTCTCACCTATGTCTTGACCAGATGCAAGAAACATATTAAGTAATGTAGTTACATAATATTCTCATGTAATATACAGCAGTTGTACCTATTCTTGTTTTGAAATGCAGTAAAATTAGTAGGAATCATGAAAGGAGATAACTCAAAGAGTAAGGAATGAATTTTGTCTCTCAACTTACTAATTCTGGTTGTTTGTTTTCTCAGGCAGAGAAAACTGTTAATTCACTGCTTTCCTGTGTGCTTTATTTAGGCAATCCATTATATGACAGCCTTGGTTCTCTGGGTGTGGGCACCTTATTAGGTGTGGTCTCAGCATTCCTGATCTACACTAACACAGAAGCACTCTTAGGACGATCCATCCAACCAGAGCAAGTACAACGGCTTACTGAACTCCTGGAGAGTGACCCATCAGTAAGGTCAGCCTTACTCTGGTGATATTGTTAAGGCTTACAAAAACATGAAAAACAAGCATGCAGCGTTTGTGTTTTCAGAGGTGGCTTTGAAATCCTAGCTTCTGGAACTATTTAAATCTGTTACTTTTCAGAATCATTATCTTGGAAGTGAGAAGGTACATTTAGGAAACTTCTTATATGCTTTCTTTTAAAATTTGTATTCTTAAAACTTTTAGAATAAGGCATAATCAAATGATATAATGAGAATAGAAGTGTATAAAGTAATTAGCTCCTTAATGTGAAACTCCTTAATATTCAATCATTACATTTATGCTTGCCATATATTTATTTGTATTGCAATTACAAATTGAATATATTAAAATTTTAAAAAATGTTATTTGTGGCAAAATGATTACCAAAGTGAATGTAATTTATATTTTTTGGGGGGGTTGAGACAGGGTCTCACTATGTAGTTGAGACTGACCTGGAACTCACTCAGTAGCCCAGGCTGGTCTCGAACTCACAGTGATCCTCCTGTCTCAGCCTCCCGAGTGTTGGGATTACAGGCGTGCACCACCACGCCTGGCTATATTTCTTTTTTTAAAGCAAAACATTTATTGGTACATTTTAGACATTTATAATGATAACATTCATCATAGGGAATTTGCACCTTTACATGATATATCCTGCCTCTTTTTTTCCCATTCCCCTTTCCCTTCCTTCCCTATGTGCAAAAATGTTGTTTCCATTTTCTACTTCTACTTTTTTTTTCTTGCGCCTTCCTTCCTTTGCCCTCCCTCCCTTGTTTCCCTTCCCATTTGAACATTTTCTTCCCCTTTTCAAATATCTGTTTTACATTTTAGTCCTTATTTCTACTTTGTTTCTCATGCGAGAGAAATAATGCAGTATTTAAACATGTGTCTGATTTATTTCACTTCAGATTATGATCTCAGAGCCGGGGATTTAGCTCAGTGGCACAGCGCCTGCCTTGCAAGCACAAGGTTCTGAGTTTGATCCCAGGCACCAAAAAAAGAATATGATCTCAAGGTGAATCCATTTAACTATAAGTGTCTGAAGCTTATCCTTCCTTATGGTAGAGTAGTACTCCACTGTATATTAAAAAAAAAACACACACATCTTCTTTATCCATTCATTGGTTGATGGGCATTTGGGTTGTTTCCAAGATTGAGTTATTTATAAAGCGCGCCACTATAAACATGGGTGTGCATATGTTGCTGTGGTAAGATGTTTTTAATTCTTTTGGGCTAAGAAGGGGAATAGCTCAGTCAAATGGAACTTCTAGTTTTAGTTTTTTGAGCAATGTCCACAGCTATAAACATGGGTGTGCATATGTTGCTGTGGTAAGATGTTTTTAATTCCTTTGGGAAGACGCTAAGAAGGGGAATAGCTCAGTCAAATGGAACTTCTAGTTTTAGTTTTTTGAGCAATGTCCACACTGATTTCCACAGTGGTTGTACCTACCAGTCTACACTCCCACCAACATTGGAGAAGGGTTCCTTTTTCCCTACAGCCCTTCTAGCATTTGTAATTGGTTGATTTCTTGATATTAGCCATTCTTTCTGGAGTGAATTGGAATCTCAAGAGTTGTGTTAATTTTCATCTCCCAAATGACCAGTGATGTTGAACATATTTTCATATATTTATTCACCGTTTTACTTCTTTATCGGAGAAGTGTCTATTCATTTCAGATGCTGTTCGGATTGGGTCTTAAAATTTAGGGGTTCTGATTTTTTTTTTTCTTTTTAGTTCTTTATATATTCTAGATATTAGTCCTTTCAGTAACAGCTGGCAATTTTTTCCCCACACCACACTGTGGGTTGTCTCTTTACTCTGTTGGTGATTTCTCTTGCTGTGTCAAAGCTTTTTACTATGATGGGATCTCAGTTGTTCATTCTGTGTGATTGTTCCTGTGCAATCGGGGTTTTATTCATGAAGTCTTTACCTACACCAGTGTCTTTGAGAGTTCTGTCTGTTCTACTTGCCAGCAGATTTATAGTGTTTCTGTATTAATATTTAGATCTTTGATCCATTTCGATTTTAGGTTAGTGCATGGTGAAAGATAAGGGTCTAGTTTCAACCGTGGGCATGTGGAAAGCCAGTTTTTCCATCACCATTTATTAAAGAGGCCATCTGTCTTCCAGTGAAGGTATTTGGCTCCTTCGTTAAAGATAAGGTGGTTGAGTATGCCTGGAGTTGTTTCTGCATCTTCTAATCTGTTCCGTTAATCCTCATGCAGGTTTTTTTTTTTTTTTTTTTTTTTTTTTTTGGTACCAGATCAAACTCTGGTCCTTGCGCTTGCATGGCAGGCAGCAAAAGCACTGAGCCAAATCCCTGGCTCCTCCTCATGCTGTTTTTATCATAGTAGCTTTGTAGTATAGTTTCAGGTCAGGGCTTGTGATGCTCCTTGCCTTGCCTTTGTTACCCAGAATTGCTTTTGCTATTCTCGATCTCTTCTGGTTCCAAATGCAGTTTAGGATTGTTTTTTCTAGTTCTGTGAGGTATGCTGTTGGGATTTTCATCATAATTGTATATCTGTATAACAATTAATGGCCATTTTCACTATGTTCATTTTTTTGTTTGTTTTGAGGCAGGGTCTCACTATGTAGTTGAGACTGCTCTGGAACGCACTGTGTAGCCCAGGCTGGTCTCAACTCACAGCGATCCTCCAGCCTCAGCTTCATCAGTGCTGGGATTACAGGTGTGCACCACCATGCCTAGCTCTTATTTTTTTTTTTTTTGTTTTGTTATATTGGTTCTTCTACCCAAGAACAAGGGATATCTTTCCATTTTCTGATATCCACTTCAGTCTCCCTTTTTAATTTTTTTTCTTTTTATTGAGTTTATTGGTACAGTCTAGGTATACAATGCAGTTACATTCATTGTAGGGATCTTGTACCTTTACATGACAGGTCTTGATTCTCATTTTTTCCCCTTGTCCCTGCCCTCCCTTCACCCCCTTCTCCCCTCCCCATTTACAAACACTTTATTTCCATTTTTCAATTTCTCATATTTTTTTCCTCTCCCTTATTACCTTTCCCCCACCCTTCCCACTTTCCCTACACCTTTAGCCCTTTACTTCCTATTTCACATTATTAATTATCTCATTAGGATCCTGTGTACTATTACAGTTTTTCACACCAGAGAAACAATTCGGTATTTCAGTTAAAGAAATCTCTGTATGAACATTAAAAATAGGGAATCCTAAAATAAAACTAAAAAGGAAAGTAAAAGAGAAAAGGCAATGATGTAACATCAAAATAATCCTTAATTCTGGAGATGAAAATGGTCCCTGAACATATTTAAATTGCTTCTCGCTCTTATAGTCTTATCTTATTCTTTTTTTCATTATTTAGAGAATACTTTATTAGTTTCTGTAATCAAACCCACGTAGATATGACCTTACATATTTAGTACGATGTGTTACCCCTATACACAGGGAAAAAATTAAAATAAATTAACATTTCTAGACCAATATGGTTGTCCATTTCTGTACAATGCCAAGTCAACACAGTAAATTGGGATGACTTTTTCCAAAGTTGGCAGCACCGTTAAAGTTTCCCCAAATTTATATATATATATGTGTGTGTGTATGATATATATATATAGACTAATAATAGTATGTTATGCATCAATAGCAGCAACAGCTTTTCCAGGTTCTGCAGTCATCTCAACAAAATTATAGACATTCAGCACATTCCATTAAAAAACAAAAAAAACAAAAACACAAAAAAAAAAGAAAAGAATAATATCCAGAAAACAGCACAGTTCTGTTGCTATTGTGGTACCTGGCGCCATTTTTTTTTCTTTATTAGCATCTTAATCATCATCTGGAAAGAGAACATTCTAAAGTAATATCATTAAATATAGCTCTGATAAAGCATGGTCACTACTGTGTATCATAAAGCAGGTACTAGATATTTTACATTCACAGAGGTATATTACAGTACCGTCCTACATCAATAATACTAGAATCAGTTTTGGTTTGAAATTTACTTTGTCTGCAAATAAGATTGCTACTCCTGTTTTTTTCTGGGCTCCTGTCACATGGGGAATTGTTTTCTATCTTTTCACTTTCAGTCTATGGGCTTCTTTTTGCACTAGGTGTGTTTCTTGTATACAACATATTGTTGGATTTTGCTTCTTATTCCATTTTGCCAGTCTATTTCTCTTGATTGGTGAGTTGAGGCCATTGACATTGCTGGTTATAACTGATATGTACTGACTTATTATTGACATGTTATTGGTCTTTTGTTGACTCTCTTTACTTTTTCACCTTCTCCTTTTAATTTCTTGCCTTGCCTATTTGATTTGCTCTGTTGGGCCTCATGGTGTTGTTGCCTTCATTGTCTTTTTCTAGGATCTTGTTTAGAATTGCTTGGTACTGCTGGTTTGGTATTCATATAGTTTTTTAGGTGTTCTTTGTCGTGGAAGTATCTTATTTCCCCATCTATTTTGAAAGAGAGTTTTGCAAGATACATCAGTCTAGGTTGGAGGTTGTTCTCTTTTAGTACTTGAAATATCTCATTCCAGGCTCTCCTTGCCCTAAGGGTTTGTGTTGAAAAGTCTGCTGTGATTCTGATGGGCTTTCCTTTGCATGTGATTTGTTTCTTTTTT